ACATTATCTGAATGTGCTATATGTTGCGAAATGAAACGTCTTCAAAATCGATCATGTTGTAATTTTTATGCATGTTCAACATGTTTAAATATTTATGTTGAACAACAAATTAAACAAGGTATTGTTAGTATACAATGTCCAAATCAACAATGTAAAATTTATATGCATCGTGATGAAATTAATAAACGATGTATATCACCAGAATTACGACAAAAATTTACACGATATTTAGTTGATGCAAATCGTTCAAATAATATTAAAACATGTCCACGATGTTCTAATATTCATGAAATAGGTATGGATTTCATTAGTTTTAATTATAATTAATCTATTTTTTTTTATCGTAGATCCAGAAGTTTTTCGTACAATGCGTCGTGCACCAACTAAAGTTCAATGTGTTGAATGTAATTTAATATGGTGTTTTCAATGTCATTCACCATGGCATGATGGTATACAATGTAAAGAATTTCGTCGTGGTGATCGAATGTTAAAAAAATGGGCAAGAGAAGTTCATTATGGACAACATAATGCACAACAATGTCCATCTTGCAAAGTAAAAAAAATTTTTTTTTTTTTATTAATTTATTTTCTTTATTTTTATTAAAGGTATATATTCAACGAACTAAAGGTTGTGATCATATAGTTTGTCTTCGTTGTAAAACAGAATTTTGTTATAAATGTGGTGGTCGTTTTCGAGATATTAAATTTATTGGTATATATAAAATTGATTTTTTTTTTAATAGTTAATATTTCTATTATGAATATATATATATATATTTTAGGTGATCATTATAGTGAATTAAGTGTACTCGGTTGCAAATATCGTTTTTATCCAGATCATCCATTTAAACGTCGACTTATACGAGGTTCAATTCTTTGTGGAAAAATATTAGCAGCACCTATTGTTTTATGTTTGGCTGTTGTTGCTGGTGCAGTTTGTGCTGGAATTGGACTTCCAGCTTATTGTTGTTTTATGCTTGTTAGACATATTAAAGTAAGAAAAAAAAAATATTTTGTTTTGGTTTAAATTATAAAAATTATGATTTCTTTTTGTATTCTTAGGCTAAACGACGACGACCTCATTCAAAACTAAAAGAACCTGTTTTGATGAGTTGTAAGTACTCTTTGACATAGAAAAACAAATAATAAAAATCTAGAAATTAGTTTCTATCTGTGTGTTATCATAACCGAGAATTTCTTAGATTGGTCTCTTTTTTTGTATGTTGATATGAGAGATGTATTGAAAAGGAAATAAAAATTTTCAAACGAAGAAAGATTTCTAAGTGATAAATAGATTTTAAACTTGGACTATATTCAATTAATAGAGCTTAGTCAATAGGCAAATATCTTAGAATGGTTCGAGCTCTTGAACCTTTGTTACTAAGATATTGAGTTTTTTTCTGCAGAACTGCAGTTTTCAAGCCATCCTAGTTTAATCGGAACTATTATGTGGGCAAAGTTTCAGATTAAAATTCAAAAGTATGATTTTTCTTGAAAACTGGGCCCTACAGGAACAATCTACTAAAAATTCGATATCTCAATAACAAAGGTCTAACAACTTGAACTAGTCTAGAGTATTCACCCATTGACTAAGCTCTATCAATTGAATATAGTCTTAGTCTAAAAGCTATTTATCACTTGGAAATCGTCCCTTGTAAGGTCTAATGATCTATGAATACCATGAAACGAGTTCGCATCATATAACAATTGAAACTGTGCATACACAGAGTCCTTAACAACAATAGTTTATTGTAAAAGTTTTAAATCTTTTCGTTTATTCCTATCTTAAAGTACAGCTATGGTAAAAGTGTATCTTTTACATTGCTCATATAAATCGATAGGTTCGATGTTCTTATTTTAGAATAGAAGCTAATTAAAAGATCTGAAAACTTTCATAACAAAATAGTATTGTTAAGACCTATCTTCATGCAATATTTCAAATCGAAATTTGAAAATGCATTTTTCCTTGTCCTCCTGAGAAGGACTACATCATTGAATTAAAAAATACCTTAAAGATGGAGTATCTTCGTAGCAATAAGCTAAAGGCTTAACTGAGGGACTTCCCTCACTAGTTATTTTCGTTTTTTAATGCCAGTTAAAATGATAACTATTGTCTAACATAGATAAAACATTGAATGATATGGTACCACAATTAATTCCACGTGATCCAGTGAATAATGATGGTATTAAACCAGGTTTTAATTCAATTCGATCGAATATTCAAACAAATGAAACAATTAATGTAGAAATTGATCCAACTAGTAATGCTCCAATTGCCGTTTTTGATGGTATATAGAATATTAAGTTTTATTTATTATATATTTTTGTTTATAATTATTTTTCTTTTCAAATAGAATGTGATATTCATATTCCGACAAATCAAACAGGTAAATTTCTAAAGAAAATTAATCATGATTTTTGTTGTTTTTTCTTCTCTATGTCTTCAGAAGAATCAATATCTATCCCAATAACTTCTCTATCATCTACATATGTTTCAACAGCATCACCAAATTTTCCTCGACTAACACCTTATACTACATTACGAAGATCATCATCGAAAACTAATGTATAAGATTTCATTTTCTTTTTTTTCAATCACTGTAATTGAATCTTAGAATTACATACGAACGGCAATTACAGTAAACAGATAGTGTATATATCTTTAAAAAAAAAAGTCTTTTCTTCTAACAAATTAGTTGACCCTAGTCACTTACACATCATTTGGTTTCTTTTTTTAAACAGTGTATTACACGTACATATAAAAGTTTTCTTTCTTTTTTCTTTTTTTAAATTGGTCTCTTATCGTAGTTTGATTTTTATGCAATCTGTTTTTTTTTTCTTTTGTCTGAGAAATTATTTGGAATATACAAATAACAGTATATCAGCTTTTGCTGTTGTATCTTTGTTTTTCTCTTCTTCTATATTTTAAAGAAATTTTATTAAATCTATATACATAAGAAAAAACAAATACAAATGATTTAATTATACTTTTGAATTTTTTTTTCTTTATTACATAAACTTTCATAGTTTTTTTGTTTTGTTTTGGAAAGTCAATATTAATAACATGAAATGTTTACAATCAGGAAGTTTTACTGGAAATATTTGTGATTATCAATAAGTTCGATGTATTAAGTACTGCAATACTTTTAATGTTTGACTTATTTTTAAATGACATGAAATGGTGTCAAATATTGCTGAATGCAACATAAATCATTACAATTTCGTATAAAATTCTAAAGGATTTTTGAACATCTTCTATGACTAATGGCGTAACTATGGGAGGGCATGAGTAGAGGCGAAGTCTCTATTCCACTCGCACCCTATACTCCATGTTCTTTTTAAGCGGCAGATGAAGTGGAATCTAAATTTAGGTTGGCATTAATTAAGTTCGACTAGCCATTTATGATATTGACAGAATTCATGATCACTAAAGTTTCATACAAAGCGAAATAGTAAGAGAATACTAACTACTAAAACAAGTGACAAATAATTCTTTTACTAGTAATCATAAACTGATTTTATTAGACGAATGAAAGGACGGGCTAAAATAATATGGCTTAAAATCTAGTCTCCTGTGCAATAGATCAAATTTTGAAAAAGAGTTTATTGCACTCGACTTGAGGCACTCTACAAACTGAACAGATAAAAAAATTTTTGACTGAAAAAGGTTTTTCGCTGTAGAAAACTGGTTTTCGAGAGAACTGACTCTTCGAAGGCCTGGTGACAAAAAACCATGTTGATATTCAAAATCACCATGATCGATTACCTGTGATCCGCTAGATTTTCTCTAAAGAGCAATTGAACAGTTGCTGATATTCCCTCGAAAGAACTACATAAGATACTTCTTTTCAAAAATTTACAGAACAGCATTTTCAACTTATCTAGAAAATATAAGGATAGACATACAATATTGAATCAACTGTTATGGCTATTCTAATACCGAATGGTACTTAATTTTGACAGCTGGAGATGTAAGACAATGAATGAACAACTACAAAATGACTTTTTATTTGACTTAACCTTGTGATACCTTACTATCATCGTACAAATAGAAAAAAAAACAATTAGACAAATCTGAATTATGCAAAAGTAGTACACATGTTTCCATTAGCAAGATAAAAACAGTGTCTCAATTTATTTGGACTGAAGTGAGACTATAAATTAATAAATATATGTTAAATGCAATGGAATTTGTTAAAAATTTTTAAAACTTATGCTTCTAGAATACTGAAAATTTGATAAATTTTGTTCAAGTCCTTTTGTGTTTGTATAGATTAAAACGAAACCTTGACTAGTAACTATACTAAATATACATATGTAAAGTTCAATGCAAATGGAATATAAAATTTCGGAAAGCTATTCTTAGACGTTCCAGAATTTTTCACTAGAGTTGTACATTAGATAAAATTAATATGAAAAAAAAGATGAAAATTATTCGATAATAATTCCACAAAGATTAAGCAAAGTATTTTGAGTTAAAAATAATAAAGACTAAGATTCTTTAATTGTTTTGTTGAAATATATTCGATTATAATAACAGAGAGAAAATATCTGAGGTACTAGCTCTTCTGACTTTTTATGTATCTTTTATATCAAACCAATAATATTTATCTTTATTATTATTTTTAAATATTAAAATAAATGCTTGATTCTGGTCTACATATACGTCATTGTTTCCTTGACATTGATATTTATTGTGAATAAAAAAACAATCCATTGAGTTTCTATTGTCACTATCAAAACAGATAACTGTACTCTATATTGATAATAAATTTGAAGCACTCATGCTTGTTGAGAGCTCACTCAATTTCTAGGAAAAATCTGTACATATTTCAAATTGTCGATCGACAAGATCTAAACTTTTTCATTTTATTTAGAATCAATAAGTTTCTTTAGTGTTAAATTTAATTTTATCGATGATGGATTCGAAAATTTTTCATTTTTTTTTCTTGTATAACAATAATAAACGTTGACATTTATGTATCGAAGAACTATTATTTTTAGGCAGTAACATGTTTTAGTCTAGAATAATAAAGTAAATTAAAACTGACGGTTTTTTAATATTATTTTCTCACACAATCGTTATATTTTAGTTTATTTTTTGTTTCTTTACATGTTAACGAGGAAAAATTCTTGATTGCCTAGATTTTTTTTCTCCTTTACGATCCCTATTGTCCGTACTCGTGTAGAACCTAAGAGAAAAATAAAGCCGTCTAATTTGAATTATTCGCAACCATTATAACTAACACGAAATGTGTAGAGACATGTGAATTTTACAATCTCTAATCTTTTATATAAGACCTAGGGATAGCTTCATAGCCCTGGCAGAGAGATTCAACGTCCTCTTAGTATGTCGTACAGAGGTTTATGAAGAGATCTTTGCCATACATGTACGTCCTTGTCGTCATCTCATACCCCACACGTATATGTCTTATTGCACGATCGTTGCTGGCATCCTCCACTGTAATATTCCAGCAGAATCCAAAAGTTTTTCCAGTCACACGTGCACAGATATAAATATTGATTCAAAACAAAACAAACAAAAACTGTTTTGACAAAAAAAAAGAAGATCAATTACAATTTCTTTTTTACAAGTTCAACGTTTCTTTTCGATTCTGCGATATGCGGATGCGTTGGAGGAAGAGACTTTTCGCGGATATTGAGTGCTCGTTCGAAATATAAAAGTGCTTCCGAGTCCACACCCATATAGTTATACACCTCTCCGATGTTGTTATACGAAGTAGCCAAGTCGGGATGGTTCGGAGGGAGAACTTTTGTTGCGATATCAAGTGCTTGTTCGTGCGATGAAAGTGCCTTCGAATATTCTCGCATGGTGCAGTACACACTACCAATGCTGTTGTAGGAAGCTGCCAAGGCAGGATGATTTGGAGGAAGATTTTTTCGGCGAATATCAAATGCTCGTTTGACATATGAAAGTGCTGTCAAGTACTCGCCCATGTTTTTATACACTTGTCCAATGTTGTTGTAAGAAGTAGCCAAGTCAGGATGATTTGAAGGAAGAGCTTTTTTCTTAATTTCTAGTGCTCGTTCGTGTGATGAAAGTGCTTTAGAATATTCGCCCATGTTATAATACACATTACCGATGTTGCTGTAGGAATCAGCCAAGTCGGGATGGTTCGGACGGTGAGTTTTTTGGCGGAGATCGAGTGCTTGTTCGTGCGATGAAAGTGCTTTAGAATACTCACCAATGTTATAATACACATTACCGATGTTGTTGTACGAAGCAGCCATGTCAGGATGGTTCGGACGGAGAGTCTTTTGGCGGAGATCGAGTGCTCGTTCGTGCGATGAAAGAGCTTTAGAATACTCACCAAGGTTGTTATAAACATTACCGATGTTGTTATATGAAGCAGCCAAATCAGGATGATTTGGAGAGAGACTTTTTTGGCGGATCTCGAGTGCTTGTTCGTACAATGAAAGTACTTTCGAGTATTCGCCTATATTATAATACACCAAGCCGATGTTGTTGTAACAAGCAGCCAAGTCAGGATGATTTGGAGGGAGAGTGTCTTTGGAAATATCAAGTGCTTGTTCGTAAAATGAAAGTGCTTTCGAATACTCGCCGATGTTATAATACACTAAACCAATGTTGCTGTAGGAAGTAGCCAAGTCAGGATGTTTAGAAGGGAGATTCTTTTGGCGGATATCGAGTGCGTGTTTGTAAAAAGAAAGGGCTTTCAAATACTCGCCTACGTTATAATACACCAAGCCGATGTTGCTGTAGGAAGCAGCCAAGTCAAGATGGTTTGGAGAAAGAGTTTTTGTCTTGATTTCCAGTGCTTGTTCGTGCGATGAAAATGCTTTCGAGTACTCACCCATGTTATAATACACATTACCAATGTTGTTGTAGGAAGAAGCCAAGTCGGCATGGTTTGAAGGGTGAGTTTTTTTTGAGATATCGAGTGCCTGTTCGTAAAATAAAAGTGCTTTCGAATATTCACCGATGTTGTCATAAACCCAACCAAGTTGATGACAGTAATCCGCTCGATCTTCGTCGGAAGATGCCTTTTCGAGGAGGAGTTGATAAAGTTGTCCTGCTTTTGCAGACTCTCCCACTTTTATGAGTATATGACCTAGTCGAGGCCATCCCGATGTCCAACGAAGCTCATTGCGCATGTGTGCCGCTAGTTTGTTTAAATCATTGTCTTGGTTACCCGTAAAGGTAAGATTAACTTGCCATAGGCGATCAGTATGTTTGTCTTTCACCCGTTCAATTCTATCGATGCGAAAAATTGTGTGTGTTGAAAAAAGAACCTCTTCCTCTTGACCTTTATAGTAGCCGATATTTTTGACGTTAACAAAAGGGGTCGACGATAGTGCACAAAGTGTTGGATCGATGGTCATAACAAAGAGTATACCAACCCCATTAGGATTGAGTGCTGCAGGACGTGCAAATTTTTTCAGGGAAACATTGCGATTGCGGCTTGTTGAAAGGAAATTGTTAAAAGACATAAGTCCTCCTTTTGTTCGTTTCATTTTTTCAAAATCTTGGATAGATAAGCCCTGTCCTCGAAATACTTGAAATGGAGTTGTCACTATTGTCTTCGTAGATTGTTGTTCGCGATATAATTTTTCAATATGTTGATGTAGGTGTCGAATGAAGAAACCCATTTGGAGTATAATATCGACATCAAGTACTCGCAAACCTCGATTAAGCATCGAGTAGATGAAATATGGCGTGGTGTACCACCAAATAGGTGAATGATGATGATATTCTTGTTCGATTTTTTTAATCTCGTCTTCAGCAATATCATTTTGAAGACGACAGTAATCAACGAGTTCTTTGATGGATTTAGTGTCATCATCATCTATTTCCAAGAGAACTTCTTTAAACAATTGTGTATACATAAACAACGGATCAATGCCACGAAAACTAATCGAGATCATAGCTTGATCACATCGTTCACGATCGATTTGTATGGCTTTACAAATTGGCTCGATATCAGTGTAAACACCCTTCACTTTAGATATTGTTTTAGCCCATTCTTCGTGAAGCAGTTGATTGCCACAAAATACATAAATAGAATCCAATTGTGGCAATGTATGAATTTCTGGTACAATATATTGTCCCAATGAACCAGAAACAATCATAAATACTTTTTCTTTTTTAATTTCACTGAGAACATTAACACACTCTTGAGAATCAGTAAATGTCGTGATTGATGCCACAATATGCCGTAGATGTTTTAAGGAATTTTTAAAATCTTTCTTCGACTCATCAATATTAGCATCGAGCCAGATGAGAAGAAAATTTTGTAGAATACGACGAACAGAATGAGGCAGCACGGCAGTGCTATTAGTGGTAATTGCTGCTGGTCCACTAGTAGCAGGCAATGGTGACGGTAATGATTTCTTGTATTTATTTTTAGTGGATACGGAGGATGAGTGACCATTAGTGGTTATTGTCGAGTTTTTGTTACCCATGGTGGATGAATGATGTACGGATGAATGGATGCAACAAGTACAAGTTTGTCTCTCTCTCTCTATATATATTGTCGTTTCTAATGTTGTTGATACTTTTTTTAATCGGATACTATTGATGAGTATGTGTTTCGTTTGTCACTGTAAGGACTTCTTTTGGTTTATTCGTTTGAAAAATACTGACGAAATGAGGACGACGAAATCTTAGCGTGTCAAGGAACGAAGAAAGAGAATGAAAATAAATGAATGAATAATTGTATCGTCATCTAATTAGAGGAAAAAACGAAAAGTCATGAATGCAATGAATGAATCTCGTTCTTGCTTTCCAAGTTGTTTCCAACATAATAGTCGATATATACATACAGCAAGCATTTATAGGAGAAAGCAGAGATTACATCACGCACGTGTTTTATCTGTTTGATACGTTCGAATCAACGCAATTCAAAAGCAAAATGTGGAAAAAAAATATTACTCATTGAGCGATTGATTGTATCGTAGGATATTGTGCAATATACGACTGACTCATTGACCCTGTTTAAATTAGTAATAGACAAAATTATTTTTTTTCGTACATACTTTATCTATCTTATATTATAATTTCGACAGAAATAGATAGATCTGAACGCAAAGATAATATACACATCTATATATATATATAGTAAATAGATATCAAAAGTTAATAAGTAGAAAAAAAAATTGTTTAATCATTGGCTGTCTCAAAGTCTTGTTTTCGATAATCTTTTTATTATTATTTGATGATGATGAAAGTTGATATCTGTATTAATGTAAAATTGTAAATATTTAATAATAATGAAATCAGTTACGATAAATTTTGTTGATTATTTAAATATTGTTGAAATTGCGATTATTTTCTTTCATATTGCAAATAATGTGAACTATATATAGTCAATCATTTAACTCATTAATAAAAAAAATACACTGAAGACGAAGATGATTATATTCACCGTAATTTAGCAACAGTTTATACATCAATTGAAATGATTCTTTCTCTTCCTCGATTATCTTTACGCATAATTCATATATTTTAATTCTTGTAAATTATTTGGTGTTCAATAAAAACAAAATTCATCTGAACAATAGAACACTAATAATCATAATAATAATAGTGTTATTGATTCAATATCTAATGATATTGTTGACACTTCAACACAAACTATAAATATTTCTCAGCTTATAGTTACATCGATGATGAATTCAGCATTAATTGGAATAAATGGGCTAAATCCACCGATAACTTCTTGGCTTGGACAAGTTATTGATAAAGAACATTGTTAAGTTAAAAAGCTAAACAAATGTTTTAATGTCTTACTAGAAACAAAATTCTATCGAGTTCGTGTTAAACCATAGAAACCACCAATATCTTCTTCACCAAACTGGTTCACTCATATCTTGTTTATCTATTTACCAAATTAGGTGCTATTTACCTGTCCTATTAGTATGTTATTCTCCCTTTCTGTATATATATCACTAGTCATGATTTATTCGTTACGTTAACGTATATCACTAATTTCATGTAATTAACAACAACAGCTACACCGCGTTTCATATTTTAATCCCATAGGAGTTGCACTACTAGTTTTTTCCGTTTCTTTTTTGATAATGCGTTGTACTGAGCGAAGAAGATCAGTTATGTATAATTAAACAACGAGTAAACGAAACAGAAAAATAAATGATTGATTAGATGGTAAATGATCAAAAATAGTTTCAATATTATGAAAAAAACCAATCCGAGAGACTCATTCTAGCACGTGTTAGATAGTTTAATATTCTTGGAATAATTCAGATTGCTAAATAATATAAGTAATAACAGAGGATTTATTTTTCATTTCTTATGAATCTCTATCAAATATCTACCAACTTTTACAACTCATACATTAAAAATAATAAGTAACAGAACGCTACGAAATGTGTAGAAAAATTTTGCTTATTAAGAAAGCATACTTATATTTCCACAATTCTTTGTCAACGTAAAAATGAGAAAAAACCGATCTACATTTATTTTTTTTTTGATGAAATAATTTTTGATTTCTGTTTATTGAGTTTGATTATTTCCAGCTAAAAATGTAACCTATAACTTGTTTATTATTACAATACTACATACATTATCCAACTGAAAGCACCGCATTATAAAAATATGAACTATATTGTGAATATCATATGAAATGTTGTATTTGCCAGTGTTGTACTCCTATTTTCAAGAAGAGAATTTTGTATACTAATACATGCGTATAGTACGTTTTTTTGATAGAGAATTAGAATAGCCTCGTTTTGAGATTCTAAACGACAACGAAAATCTTCTTTTACGTACCATTCAATAGAAGACCTTCCATATATTATTTGTGGCGAAGAAAATTGATTTTGTCGTAGTTTAATAAGTGAATTGCGTCTTATGATGTTTAGGTCCCTGTGATGCATATATGCGAGTGTCAGCAGTAGAAATGCAATAAAAACTAATACGCAATGCATAAGTGCTTCACTGAAAATCAGGCATGCATATATGTTAGACTAAATCACAAAAGAGAGAAAGACAATAGAATGGCAGGATTGCATCATTGTTCTAATTATGCATTGTTAAACTATCTATTTGAATTTTTTTTCCGCATCTCTTACTCTCTCTCTCTCTTTTGTAGATATTGGTGGTAAAGCAACTAATGATTGATTACATTCCTACATATTTTGAAAAACTTTCAAACAAACTTTGGCTCGATGTGTTCGACTATTTGGACATTCGTCACGTCTATCAAACCTTTTTCGGACTCAATAGATAAATCGACGAAATTTTACGATCACTCAATGGTGTCTCTCTTAGTTTGTTGCCGTCCGATGATGCCAATGATCCATCGGTAGAATTTTTTGCATCTCGTATCTATCGATTGATGGTAGTCGATGGTCGTCTTAATCAGATTGATCTTAGTCGCTTTTTGAATATTGGTTCATTGACAATTCACTGTCCATCCAGTATTCAATTGACACAGATTTGACCTGAACTATTTTCACTGTGAATAGTTTACGTGTAACTTCTGTTTCATTATCATCTATTAATATTTATTTTCATCAACTCAACTATCTTATTTTACAAGCTGATGAAGAGACAATTAATACAATGATTGATTCATTACTCATCCCTATTTCGAATTTTTCAACGATTGTATCTTAAAGGTATGCGGAAGCTGGTGTCATCAATTAACTTCAGTCACGTGCCTCATATTCTTGATCGACGTGTGCCTGAACTTCGTCGTTTCGATTGTCTCTCACATGTCTACAAGAAAAATATCAAGATTGATGCTATTCGTCAACTTCATCCTTGCTTCATAGGCATTAAGTATCAACCTGATAAAAATAATCCGGACAATTTCGTCTTAACCACTAAAGTCGATCATAAATAGACTTAAATTAGATTATAATGAAAATAATTTATATTTGTTGTTTGTTATTTCTCTTAAAAATACAAATAAAATGATGACGATTTTCAGATAATTCAGGTTAAATAAAATTTTTCTATTTTTGACCTCGAATGTTACAGACATGGAAGTTTCCATGAGTCTGTGAACATTAGATCTCAGAAATATTTGCTGTAAACTAACGATATGAAGGTCACGCAAACTGGCAAAAATAATGAGAACAATCAAACATTCTAAATCGAAACTGTATGATTCACTGTGTTTTATGGGTAAAATACATATTTCAAGTAAGAATTTGTCATTGAATATCACGAAAAGTAAATTCATTGCGAACGAAATATTTTCATTCACTGGAACAGATTCGACATTATTTTACAAGTCTTCAAAATTATAAATTTCAAAAAAGTTTTAAAAAGATTTTAAACTCTCTTTAAAGGGTGTAAATGAATGGAAGATCAACATCCACACCCATAAATTTTTTTGATATTAAATACTGCGAGGATTCGAATATGGTGAAAAAAAGACATTATTGCACCTGGTTCTTGACAGTGCGACTTCCCTTTCTCTGCAACAATAAAATATACATTCGTGAAATTTTCTCAGAAATTGTGCGAATATTTATTCTACAAAATCCACATAATTAAAAATTGCCGAAAATTCTCTACATTTATTTGACAAAATATCCTTTTTTCCGTTAGTTTTCTGCTCGACTTCGGATATTTGTATGAAAAGCAATATTCGAAACATATTTAAAAAACAAAAATTACTCAACCATTTATAAACGATAAATGAGCAAAAGAGAAAAAAAAAGACGAAAAACATTGATTTGATTTTTTTTATACATGTTGTATTCTATAACAAGAGAGACTTATTTCATACGTATTAATTATACCTGACATCTAGTGATCGTGATCAGTATTCGTTGGTTAAATCTTGTGTATAAGGTTTTGATTTGATTTTGTATCGATCGATTACGTCCATTTACTTGCTCAAATAATCAATATTTGCAACTATTATGCTAATCAACAAGATATTGATTAATTTGTTGAGAATCAAATTTTATGTAAACTATTAGTTAGATTTTTCTTTCGTAGATTTTATTAGTCAGGTTTATATTGAATCAATAAAATCAATTAACTTTCTATTTATGTTTAGATTTAAAAAAACATAGCAACCATGAAAAATTTCAATTAGCAAAGGAATATATATGTAAAAATTATGAAAATTTTGCAAAATTTTACTATTTATACTTATTTAAAACATAAAAATAATAACAAAGAATAACCTTGACATTATATCTATGTTTAAACATCAATATTATTGTATTCTATGCTAAGTGAGTAATTAGAAAATTCAGTCATTTAATTTTTTTCTCTAATAAATCTGACACGTATTATAAGCAATAATATTGCTACTATTATTTAATATTGTTAGTTTATAAATGTTATACAATGACCCTGAAAAGTATTTATTTGAATTGTGTGAATTATATTTTTCAAAAATTTTGACACTAAGAATAAATTAGTTTTTTAGATATTTACGATTGAATTAGTAACGATTATTATGCGAAGTAAGCATGAA